TTATTGCACTTAAATTATTTCTAATGAACTGAAAGTATTTTTACCAAACTAAAATTATTTTTTTGATTAAAACTTTTTTTTTTATTGATTTTCTATTTTTTATTATAATATATTATAAATGGATCTCATTTTAAAGAACTTTTTAAAACCAATATTATGATGGAAATAATAATGAGTTATAAGATATTTATTAAAAGTTATAACTAATTTTATATATATGAAATATTAGAAGTATACCGATAATAAAAGTCCATACAACGTTTTTATCTTAAAAAAATCTATCCAAAATTCTCTTACTTAGCATCCTATGTGTCACAATAATACCTATTTGTCACCAATGTGGCATGACACTTGGCAAAAAACTGGAATGCCAAGTGTCGCTATGTCGTGGCCTGCTACTACGTACTCCCGGGCGATGCCCTGGGTTCCCTCCATAATATATATCCTTATGTTTTAAAAATCCTTACATTAATTAGCTACTTATAAAATAATTATAAGGAATAATTATAATCTCAAAGGCATTATTACTAATGTCTAAATCTATCCACGTTTGAAACATTAGCTGCTTTAAATGTTCATAATCGGATGAGTAATTTAATTTTACAGTTCTATTGACATTTAATAATTTGAGTACTCCTAGACTTTATTCGAAACCCTCAGTTTGTTAAGTAAAAATATATTACTACCGATCATAAAGTTGTAGGTTATAATTTTTAAAGTATATCATGAATGGATTTTTTTTTAAATACTCTTTAACACAAATATTATGATATAAAAATAATAAATTATTAAGATAATAATTATTGAAAATTATAATTTATTTTTTAATAGGATTATAATTTTATTTGTACATATAAAATATTGGTATTTTATCGAAAATAAAACTCTAAACCAATAATTTTATCCTAAAATCTATCCAAATTTTATTAAAAATAAAACTCTAAACTAACTTTTTTATCATACAAAATATATCTAAATCTGTCCAACATTTTCATCCTACGAGTCATACTAATAATTAATCGTTGTTTACGTTGCATGACATTTGGCGAAAAGTTCAAATTCCAAGTGTCGTCTCGTGGCCTAACTAAAAGTTTAGCTTTATATATTATTATATAATATTTAATTTATCAAAAAAGGTTATTCAAATAGTATAAAATAAGATATCTATGTCATTATTGAATTGAAATTATTTTTATTGAACTTAAATTATTTTACTGAACCGAAAGTATTTTTTACCAAACTAAAATTTTTTTTACGGATTAAAACTGATTTTTACTAATTCTCTATTAATTTTATAAAATAAATATATTATAAATGGATCTTATTTTAAAGAACTTTTTGAAACGAATTTTATGATGGCAATAGAACTGAGTTATAGGATATTTATTAAATTTTATGATTAATTTTGTATATATGAAATAATAGAAGTATATCGATAATAAAACTCTACACAACAAATCTATCTTAAAAAATTTATCCAAAATTCGGTTACTTAGCATTATATCTATCACAATAAAATCTATTTGTCGCCTACGTGGCTCGACACTTGGCGAAAAAGTGAAATGCCAAGTGTTGCTGTCTCGTGGCTTGGCCTCGAGACTGGCTTTATTTATTAGTGATATGATATTGATATATATGATATGATGTGGATTAATAAGTCATGAACTCATGATTAGTTTCTAGCTAAAATGGTAATACATGTGGTTTTCATTCAATGAGGTTTGATGTTCAACTTTTTATATGCATTTTTAGTTTATGATCTCATGGATAAAAAATTGTTGAAGGATGATGTGGCGTGATGCTGGTGTGATGGAGTACACATAGAACATAGACATTTATAGCAATGCCTTTTAATATATAACTACATAATGTTAGTAAAAAAAAAATGTTTAAAGAGAATAATTTTCAATTGTCTTGGAAACGCTTTTAATATATAAAGTATAGAAATACATTAATACCTATAATAGCCTGCAAATCCTCTCGATGCTCTACAAGGACAATTAAGGTGTATCTCTCGAGAGGATGACATCCTAATTGTATTTGTCATTACTCGTATTGGTGTATTGTATTGAAATTGTTGAGGTTATTCCCTCTTTATTTTCGGAGCACTTTTTGACACATAAAAGTATAGATATACAATGATACCTATAATTACAAGGACAATTTCATATTATTGTTTAAAGAGCCACAAGGACGAGTAATAAGAATCGATCTCAGATCTCAAGATCTCCTGAAACCAAAGGAAAACTCTAACCACTTGAGTTATCCTTCACTCTTGTATTGACGGTTTCTAAATCTTCCTAATTTAATTTTTGGGAAAGAAAGAATTAGGCCAATGCAAAGAACTTAAACAAGTAGAGCTCGAAGTTGACGCATATTGAACCCATTAACCTGTGAACAAAAATGTACTCATGTTTCAACTAATTATTCTCAAAATTATTAACAATAATTAACGACAAATCAAACAAAACCACATAATTAGCTAATTAGCGTTTATGTGTTTTGATACTATGAATTCTATTAGTCATGTGAAGAGTAGAGTCTTCCAGATTGTTATTGTTAATGTAGGTGGTCCATGGTGTCTTAAGAAAAATACAATGAGAGCTTCACGGGTTTATAGTTTTAGAAAACTCGCAATCACGAGAGAATATATTGGCACCCTACGGCCGTCCCACCACCAATCGTATGTACTTGTGGACTTTGTGGTTGTCAACTTACTTGATAAAGTCGTTTAGATGGGAGATTAGTAATAACTAAAATTAGAAATTAAATCGAATTAAATCTCGTTTCTATCATTATTATTTCTAGATCTTTATACATAAAGTTAAAATAATAAATATATAAAAAAAAATTACTCCACTATGTACATAAATATTACAAGTTTCATAATGAATGTCGATTTACTAGTTTATTTTATGGTGTGTTTAGTTACCTTACAAAATAAAAAAAAAAAAAAAAAAAAAAAAAATAGTTTCAAGTCTAATCAGCCTTAATCAGGACTAATCAGTTGTACATATAAGATGAAAATCAAGGGTAATCAAGTCTAATTAATAAGATAAGTTTAAATAACACCCTTAGTCAAAGTTTTAGGATGATACTCATCAAAATCTGTGATCACTCAATCATTTATCTCATCTATTTCACAAGTCTATTTTGTACCCTTTTATTTATTTTATTTTCTTTTTTACGATAAACATACAAAACACGATAATACAACTTATCTCTAGTGATACTTGCTATCTATTTTTGTACATAATAAGTGCTTTTGACATTTTATTATTTCACATAACAATGTAACACTAATTCTTAATTGGACCAAATTAAAGGTGGCAAACCGCCAACTACATAATTTAACTACATTATTCCTTATCATATGTACTTTATATGAAGAATTATAAAAGGGACTTAACATTTCTAAGCATGTGACTATCAATAAGACATTATCATCTAACACAACCGTACGACCACATTCTCGTGCATTGAATAAAATCCAATTTATCTTATACTTCGTATATTATTTCTACTCCACATATCAATCATCAAATATTACTTTCACACCATATAATATAGCTACTCAACCAATATATATACAACTCCAACAGTTTTCTATTTCTAACCATATTTTTTGGCACATATAACTTCCAAAAAGTATAAGCCATGAAACCTTATTATTATTTCTTCCTTTCTTTCTCCACCTTACTAATAATCCTCACTTCCTACCCAAAACTATCATTCTCCACCCAAGAACTCACCCCACTAAACCCTAACTACAACTTCCCACAAGTATACAACCTCTCCAAGCAACTATGTTGGGGTTGCCTCGGCGAAGCCCTAGAGTTCCTAGCGTACCAAAACCTCGTACGAGCCAAAAAGTTTGAGTTCCCACTTGTTTGGGATACTACACTTGAGAACTACGCGAAGTGGTGGGCAGGGCAAAGGTATCAAGATTGTAAGTTACAACATTCGTTCCCTGAGGGCGGGTTTACGTTAGGGGAGAACATATTTTGGGGGAGTGGATCACAATGGAGGGCTAGGGATGCTGTTCAAGATTGGGCTGATGAGGAGAAATATTATGATTATGGATCAAATAGTTGTGCTGAGGGACAAATGTGTGGGCATTATACACAAATTGTTTGGAGTAAAACAAGGAGTGTTGGGTGTGCTAGGAGTGTTTGTGAAAATGGGGACGTGTTTATGACCTGTAATTATTATCCTCCTGGAAATTATGTTGGTGAACGACCTTATTAACTCGGGTTTAGCTTTGCTTTGCTATGCTATGATTTGGGTTTCAAGTTAACCCAAATATATAAGCTAAGGGCTTATATATTTTGAATATATAGCAATTATATATATGCTACTTATATTGTACTATTATACGGAGTATGTCAAACTCATAAAAGCCATTATATATGTGTGTGGATTGAATTTGTGTTATTTGTTAATTTATTGTGATTATAGTGATCAATGAACACCCTTATCTGTACGCTACATTGCTAGCAAATCTATGAATGAAGAAGTTGACTGGAAAATGTAAGTTGAGATTACTTGTCTCTAATAAGTAAGTACAACTTACGAGTAACTATGATCTCAAATTTTATAGCTATAAATTTATACTTCGTAATTCATATCTACTTAATCCATACAACGGCTAGTTTTGCCAGTCATGTCTTTTAGCTCAATTTGATCCATTCTTTTGGATTTGAGATTTTTCTAAAGAGCAACAAGGGCAAATGATGATGTAGATAGAATTTGATCCCTGGTCTTGAGTATTAAGGCTTAAATCAATTAAGCTAATTGATTATCAAAGATTTGAGAAATTAATTTACAAGTTATAGATAATTAGCATTAATGGATTTTTAATTTCATTAAGGAGTAACCTCTTTCATAGAACAAAGAAACATCTCCCAAGAGTCCAGACTCGTTGATCTAATAGATTCGGAATCAGTACAAGAAACAGTTTCAACTTACAAACATCATATAAAAAATCCAATGCAAAAGTAAAATTTTAATCAAAGTTTATAATCAAGCACTAACCACATCTTGTGGTTCTTAATTAGCTTTTAGTAATACTAGGTTATTACACAATAGATAGGACCAGGCCAACGTACTAGGCTTTATCATTGAAATTGGGTAAGTTATTTGGGCTCTACTTGAGTACTTAGTAGGGCCTTGAGCCAATATAGTTCCCGGGTGGATCATAGTTGCAAGTAATAAAAACACCACGACCATTATAACAAACGACTTTAGCACAACCAACTCTCGTAGAACTCTTCCAAACAATTTGGGTATAATGTCCACAATCCTTGCCATAAGCACAAGAATTAGTGTTATAGTCATACCACTTTTTCTCATCAACCCAATATTGGGCTGCAAAGGCGGGTGACCAATCACTACCACCACTCCCCCAAAATATGTTCTCCCCATAAGGACCTCTAGAGTGTTGTAGGGCACAATCATACCGCCTTTGGTTAGCCCACCATTGAGCGTAGGCAGCCAATCGATTGTCCCATGACAACGGCGGCACCCCAACAACATTTCGAGCATCATTTTGAACCTTCAAGTAAAGATCAATGTCGCTCGTCGGTTGGGCTGGGGATATGTATGGAGAACCATGATAAGGTGAGGGACTATAACTATATGTTATACTTTCATAAGCATAAGATGACATTGAGAGTAGTTGAAGAACAAAGATAGAAACAAATAATATGTTAGTAGACATTTTTAATTTTTTTCTTTTGGTTTTGGTTTATGAAGAAGGTTAGAATTATGTTGCTCTTATATAAAGGCAAAGGTGTAACATAATTTGTCAAAGTAAAAACTGTAGCATTTAGTGGCAACCCATGTTCTTTCATGATTAGTATGACCTTATGCCAAATTGAGATTAATGTGATTCGTTTCTTCATACAAATTGGGTTTGATGCTTGATTTATTTCCCATTAAAAGTAATATAACTCATAAAATATTATTGACTATCCCTTTAATTATGATTAACCCAGTTGCTAGATAATTATGTCAAAGTTCCAACATGCATCAACATGGAAAAATTTTGGCCGGTTTATGGTGATAAATAAAAATGATTTATTGTTCAATAACATATACAAGTATTTCAATAACATATATAAAGGCAAAGGTCCATTTCACTAATAAAAAGTAATATTGTATTGAATTTAAATCAACTTTTAATTAGGGAAGTCATATCGATACTATTTTTTTTGTTCTAGTCAACTATATCTTTTCTCCGATCACCAATAAGAGGTGCTATTGTAAAGCAACGGAAAATTACGAGTCGTCACCCATTCAAGATGGGGATCCATAATCGACTAATCAAGATAATTTTTCTTACAAATTAAATTATGCTTAGCTCCAATACATCTAACATGCCAAATTTTATTTATACCTTGAGTGCACCATGCACCAAGGGTTTTTTTTTTCTTCTTATTTTAATGATTATTATTGTGCATTATTTGCACAAAAATTACCTATAAACACACCTTACATGTTGCATTCGCGTATATTAAAAAAAAAAAAATCACCGCAAATTAGCCATTAAAATAAGTTTTAACAATTTAAATACGGGTAGGGCAGAGTACTTGATCAAAAAGCGACTAAAAAAAGAAGAAGATACGGAGTAGAACACAGCACATTACACATGCAGATATAATCGGCCTACGCTTAGTGAGCATTCATGAGTATATGAAAGAATTCTATGCATTGCAAGTTTCCAATTTGGAGTTTATCACGCCGATGATTTGATAGCTTTTTTATTAATTTAAATAAATTGTGTAAACCTATCTACTTGTATGTAACGTGATGAGGGCCACAAATTGTAATGTAAGATAATGTCAACAAGCAACAACCTTATTGTCAAAGACACTAATTAACTTTTCATACATTATCTTGTTGCATACAACTTGAATCCTTTGTTTTACTTTATTTTATCAAGTATTTTTTTTAAGTTTATTTTTATTACTTTCTCTGTTTTTAAAATAATTGACACAATTGAACTTAGCACATATGTCAGCATCAGTTTAACCTTAAATATATATGATTAATATTAAAAAAAAATTACAAAAAAAGTTGATATTATAAAACTTTATATTAATAAATATTTAATAATATATATTTCATGATAAAATTTGTGTTTTATATGTTATATAGTAGTAAAAAACAATGGTCGAAGTTAGTATATAAATAGTTAAGAAGAGTCAAACGTGTCAGTTTTTGAAATTTATATTGTACACCAGGGTGTATCATGCTCATGGTACACCTGGATGAAAATTGTCATTCAAAAAAAAAAAAATCAGCTTCCTAAATTTATGCTCCTTGAAGGTTTTTTGTTACTTCCTTTCCATAATTTTAGCTTCCCATATCCATAAATTTTCATAATCAGTTTTTTTAAAAATAGAGAATTTTTAGAGAGAAAATACAATTTCAAGAGAAATAAATAAATTTTTTAGAGAGAAAATGATGGCTCATGGTGAATTTCATCACGATCTATGATTGTCGATTTGCACATGATGATCACCAGATTGATGTTTTTGACAATTGATATTTAATTTTAGATTTTGTCACCAAATGAGAAGGTAGTTTTTAATTATTTTTTTCAATTTATATTTCATAATTTTGTTGTTAATGATGATGTTTTTAGATTATTATATTTGTTCATGGATCATTGTTAACGAATTCAACACTGAAAGAAAATGTAATTTTTTTTTATTATTTTAGTTTTTTTTTTAAAATTTGTGTTATTTTCGGAGGTTGAAGATGAAATTCTTTTGGATTGGGATAAATGTTCTTTATCAGTTTTTTGATCCATATTCATTAGAATGAATACGTTCATTGAGTTTAATTATTATGTTCTTTGCGTCTAAACTATATGTTCTTTATAGCCACAAACTATGTTCTTTGGATTTGAACTATATGTTCTTTACGTTACAAACTATGTTCATTTAATTATGTATTTTTTCAAAAAAAAAATCATCTAATTTTATATATGTATATTTTTTAAAATCAGGATCATAAAGGTTGATGAAGATGATATACTTTTAGGAACTCTTCTATTAATGATTGATTTTCCGATAGAGAACATTCGCTATATTAATAAAAATCATGATAATATTATTTAAAGAGCATTATTTATATTTACCCAGCATGTTAAAACAAAATTTAGAGAACATTTATCAATAAGTAATGAACATCGTGTGACAATAAAGGTACATTTAAATTACAATCAAAGAACATGGACATTTAAAAATCATATAATGAATATTATAATAGATACACATGACCAAGATGAATATTATAACAAAATATAAAAATATATAATTGGTTATTTAGAGAAAGAGAACGGAATAAAAAAATATTGGAATTTGAAATTTTGAAAATGAATTTCAAATTTTAAAATTTGAAATTTGAAAATGAAATCTTGATAAAAAAAATAAATTTAGAGAGGGAATTTATAGAAAACTGAATTTTTTTGAAATTTTTTTTTTTTTTGTTGAAACAGAATATTTTGAAATGATTTGACATTAAATACGTGGTAAAAATCAATTGATAATTATCTTTTATCTTTTTCAAAAACTGTTTCACCAAAATTTTTACGTTCTTTATATTTCAATGTTGTGTTCTTTTATAAAGTCATGATGTTCATTACAAATATAATTTATGTTCTTTCCGCTTTTTTTAAAAACTAGTTTTGATCCGGGTATACCATGCGCATGGTACACTCGGATGTACCAACCAACGATTAGACTATTTAAGGTGCTCTTTTTATATCAAGATAATCAAACTCGTTTTATTTAAGGTCCAATCAAGTGTAAAATAAGGTGAAACTAAGGCTAATAAGGTCTCCCTTCGTGTTATAATAGTTGGGACACTATGATTGACATATATGCCAATGCACAAATTTGATCATTAATATTTGTAATTAAATATTTTAAAGAAGCATAAAAGGTTAATGTATTAAAAATATATATAGTTATTTCATATGGAGTACGTAAGTTTTAATGAAAATATAATGGTGAAAAAAAATATAGTCAAAATAAGTATAAAAATAGTGCAAAAATCAAATTGTTGCGATTATTACGAAATGGAGGTAGTAAAAGTTTAGTTCGAGTGAATAAAACACACTTTAGAATGTTATTTGTTAAGATATTGACAAAACAATTTTTAGTTTTGGAAATTTGAGTGATTAGGTTAGTTTAATGTTACATACGATTGATATTATGAATTTTTCCAATCTTATAAAGATATACAGTATTTTATGCTTTGTAAGTTCAAAAATCTTAAATGTTTTTTGTTACTTTTAAAACACGTAGTAATTAATTTGTTAGTTATATAGTAAAATGTAAAAACCTCTTAACCTGAGAATATGTAAATTTTAGGTAAATAAATATTAATCGCTCCAAAAATCCTAAAAAATAGTTGATAAATTAATAATTAATAAGATGGCTCAATTCGGCTTGCAAATGAAACTTTGGGTAGCTTCAAAAATGTTTCTTTAGGCAAAAAGACATGCTTTTGCTCAAAGAATTGTTGCAATTTTGTCATTTTTACTAAGTTTGACATGACTTTTTGCACTAGTAACGCATTCTAGTGTTTGTTCAAGTCTAATTCAAAACTTCTCAACCAAATTACATCTTTGGGTTCCTATAGATGGCTTGAACTATAATGTTATAGAGGCACCCCTTAGTTGAATAGTAACCAAGTAACATGTACCCACGGTCTTTAATATGGCATGTTCATTGTTCACATTGCTTGATTTTTATTTTTATTTTATTATTAAAATTGTTCCTTGATTTATGCTTTTTATGGTGTTTAGAAAGCCACAAAGACAAGTGATGAGAATCGATTCCAAGATCTCCTGAAATCGAGAGGAAAACTCTAACATAAGCTATCTATCACTCTCTGTTTCTTGGTCTATGTAACATGGGGATGGGATGCGTGGATTGTTTTTATTGATTACAAATGATTTTTTATTTTTGTTTTTTATTTTTTATTTTTATTTTTTTGAAACAACAAATGATTTTTGTTGGATAAAAGTAACTTTTACTAAATATTGCTTTTATTACATTTAAAATGTTGAAACCTCATTGTGAGTCTTCCACATTGGAGAAAGATGAGAGAATTTAATGATCTCTTAATAGATTTGAGGAGTTATAATAGATACTCTTACTGGGTTTATTTAAGATTTTTTTTAAAAAAAAAAACTATTATTCATTTAATCTAATTAATGGAAATTCATATCTACTAATCTACTAATATAATGTTTCTTGATTGAAAAAAAAAAACAAAATATAAGTCTAATGGCACCATAACCTTGTTTAGCAGTTCGAATTAGAATCATAGATTCATAGTAAAGAAAGTTACCCCCTTGTCCTAGAGCCTATATGCTAGATCAACTATATTTAGGGGTGTAAATGAGCTGATACGTTCATGAACTACTTGCGAATAAGCTCGGTCAAAGCTTGGTCAAAACTCGTTTGTTAAATTAACAAACAAGCTTGAACGAACAAAAATTTTAAGCTCGTCAAATAGATGAACAAAGCTCGAACAACATCATGCTCGACTCGGTAATGTTCATGAACAACTCGTTTTAAGTCCATTTATAAGTTTTTCACACCCAATTAAACCTCAAACAACTTATATATTTTTTATTCATACATATTTGTAAGAAGTACTAATTATTTCATCATGTAAAGGCATAAAAATTCCGTCATTACCTTTTTATATAAAAGAATAAAAATATCTTATATAAAATTAAATGCATGTGTTAAGATTTGAAAGAAACCATCTTTTTAATGATAAATTAGAGCTCGTTTATTTAATCAAGCCCGATTTAAATCCGTTCAACC